ATATTTATTTACAATATATATTATTTTCAATTGATATATGATTAATTGATATGTAATATAAATATAACTAAACACTTTTTTGAAACAAATATATTAATAAATTTTATAATATTATTTTAATTACAAACTTATCAATTTGAAAAGATAAAAATAGTTATTTTTTCTCACAAGGTTTTATTTTTAAATTCGGCATTTTGAACAAAACAATAACCAAAAAGTGAAAGATTTATATTATTTTTTCGTAACATTTATTATTTTATAAAAACACCTCCAATTTTAAATTATTTACTTAAAGAAAAATAAGTTGGTAAAGGGAAATGCACTTTTGGGCAAAAAAGCTTGAAAAAAGACTGGGTTTTTAAAAAATGCAAAAGCTACAGAGTATGACTGTACCAATATTTAAGTTTTATAAAAAAATGATATTTAAATTACATATACAATATCCTAAAATTGAACAACTCGAAATAAAAACAAATATCATTATTATTAAACATCATTTTTAAATTATTTATAAATCCACAAGTAATAAATTAAACCAAAATGCTTACATTAGATAGTTATCACGTCATGATTGTCTCGAGATATTTTAAGATAATTAAAGACTTTGTTAACTTGGAGTTTGTATGCAAAAAGTATAATGGTAATATGGATAAGTTTCATTATAATCCAATTCCTTTGACTAACGTAACAATAAAACATTTCCCTCAAATAGAGACACTTCATATATGGAATTTAGAAGAGGAAAATTTTGGAAATGAATTACTTGTCTATAACACACCTTATAATCCAGATATCAACAAAAGAAATGCTGTTTTTACAAAAATGTTCTACCAAATTGTCGTGTGGTTTAATGTCGATTATACCACTGTTTATAATAATAATGAACGAAATATTAAATTTGTGAATGTAACGTATACAAATAACGATAGAAAATTACATGGTAATAACATTCCTGTTAGTATCACATCGATTGATGACGAATGTTTTAAGAATTGTGCCGATATGATTAGTATAAATATACCTACATCTGTCAGATCAATTGGATCTTCTTGTTTCAAAGGTTGTCATAATTTAAGTAAAATAACTATACCATTAAATGTGACATCATTTGGAATTAGTTGTTTTAATGAATGTATTAATCTAAAAAATATTAATATACCACCATATATTATATCACTTGGTTATCAGTGTTTTTGTAATTGTAACACTTTGAGTAGTATAACAATACCATCGCTGGTTAATGTGATTTCCGTTTACTGTTTTAATCAATGCAGCGAATTGAAAAATGTTTTAATCCCATCAAATGTTAAATCAATTGGTGATGGTTGTTTTGGTGGATGTACAAGTTTAAAAAATGTGGACATACCATCAAGTGTCACTGAAATTGGAAATGAATGTTTTAATAATTGTGTAAATCTGAGTTCTGTGATTGTTTCACAAAGCATTAAACGAATTAATAAGAACTGTTTTTTCGATTGTAAAAATTTACAATATGTCAATATTCCTTTGGGTGTCACAAAAATTAAGGATTTTAGTTTTAATGGTTGTAGTCGTCTAAGCTCTTTAAATATACCAATAACTGTTTTATCAATCGGTGATGGCTGTTTTAGTAAATGTATAAACCTGGATCAAATAAGAATCCCATCATCTGTTATTTTAATTGGCCAATATTGTTTCAGTAATTGTGATAAATTGAGTAGTGTAAACATTTCATCAAGTGTTACAACAATTAAAGACGGCTGTTTCAGTGAATGTTTTAATCTAAAAAATGTTACTATACCACAAAACGTTGTTTCAATTGGTAATTATAGTTTCAGTGGATGTTGTAAATTAAGCAATATAATAGTACCATTCAAAGTAGAATCAATTGGTGATTATTGTTTCAGTAGATGTAGCAGTTTGAGTAGTGTTATAATATCATCAAATGTGAAATCAATTGGTTATTGTTGTTTTTCTGGGTGTATTTGTTTGAGCAGTGTTACAATACCATCAAACATTATAACAACAGGCAAATATTGTTTTCCTTCAGACACCATAGTTCATACAACAAAGTAAATCAATTATTATTATGTCTTTTGGAAGAGTGAAAATGGTATGGTTGAATCATTTAATATAGAGCTATTAATATTATATTTGTTTTAATATATTATAACAGTGTCATTCGTCTTAAAAATTTTTGTTCTGGATATTTAATAATTAATGATATATCCTTCTTTAAAAACAATTGTTATTTTTGAAATATACATTAATATAAATTTAAAAAATGTTCCAGACTTGCTTATTAATTACTTTATCTGTACCACATGATGTTGAATTGCTGATTGTATTATTGTATATGCAATCGGTTTTTATTTTATAATAATTAATACAACAAAAATGTGATATTTTTTAAACAACAAAAAAACAAATAAAACATATATAGTTAAAAATTAACTAATATATAAACTTAAAAAAGTTCCAAATAATTCTTTCAAATTCGACATATAAACTCTTTTTGTGCCAAAAAAGACTAAAAAGCACCTAAGACTGTAATCAATCAGTGATGATTATAATCAAATTTATTAAAATAAAAGATTAACTAAAAATTACATTTATGAGTAAATTAAAAATTAAAAATTATTTTTATGTTATTCAACATCTTCGTCTTTCTGACATCCCCAACTTTGTTTTGGTGTCTGCCGAAACTTCAAAAACGTGTATTTCTATTCAAGAAAACCCTTGGTCTTCTGAACTCGAATTAGATCAATCATTTTTAATCATCAAAAAGTACTTTCCATCCCTCAAATATTTAAATGTGCCAAATACCTTCATTTCGTCAGTCCCAAATATATTTGACAATCTTTTAGTACTAAACAATTTTGATGATTTTCCACGTGAAACTTTAATGACGTTACACAATAATAATATTGAAAACGCAACACTAATTAAATACGAAAAAACAACACTTTATATATTTGACGTGAAAACAAATGCAATGAAAGATTACTTCAATTCAAAAAATGTATTTGTCACAACAATAATCATTAAAAGTACCATTTTGAAAAGTCTTAAAACCATTGTTTGGAATTTTTTTCCAAATTTAAAACTTTTCAAAATAGTCTTTTCTGGAAGTTTTAAGTCGCTTATCAAACTCATCAAAACAACTCTTCACCTTAAAATTCCCAGTACAGTCAAAGTCGTGTTTGAAGTGAGTTGTGACAAATTTAAAGTTAAAGACAATGGTAATGGGATCTTTTCATCCAAAAAGGTATGTCATTTGTTACCTTCAAATTTTGGACTTTTTGTGCGATGGGATTGTTGTGATTTTGTTTTATCACAAAAGTACAAAACAGACTTTTTCGACTTTCAATTTCATCAAAAAGAATTTGTTAAATTGTATTATGGGAACCCAGTCAAATTTATTGAAAATGGAAATTATTCGAATTATGAAGGTGTTATATCAGCACAAATAATTAATACACAAGTTGTACTTCCTGAAAGTGTCGAATTTGTTGAACTGTTTGGCGATTTAGCAGACATCAAAAACATCAAAAATCTTCCTCGTTTGGTTCAAATCACAAAATACGGAAACACACAAACACCACTTTCACTGTTAGACAAACTTTCATTCAAAAATTTTCAACCACAAAATTTGTGGTTTTTGGCCGTTTTGTTTTTTCCTGTTTTTTCTCTTGTGAAATTTGTGTTTTTGACTTTTTGGAGTAATTTGAATGCAGCAATTTTGTCGTCTAAAATTGAAACTGTTTTTTTAATAGAGATTATGATGTACATTGTTGTCATTTGTTTATTTGGATATGTACTTTATACACTGTACACTGGTAATTCTTCGAAAGAAGAAATAATTGTTTCCTTTGTTTTGGACCTTTTAGTTTTGTGGCTTTTTGTCGTGTTTTTTACCACACAAAAATATGTGATAGACAAAGTTGTTATTTCAATGTTTTCGCTGTCATTTTCATTGCTTTGTTTTTCACTTGCAAAATATTTGGCTTTTATTCTGAATGGAAAAATATTTCATATGGACGAAATAATGTTCTATATTACCAAATCCAAATATGTCGCAGCACTATTTTGGAATTTTTCTGAACTTTACGAAGTGTTGACAACATTTGTGTTATTTGTGTTTTCTTTCTCTATATTTTGCATTGAAATGATAAGATACACATATTTTATTAATATGTTTATATTATTAGTACCAATTTTAATAACTATTGTTATGATGTTAACAGGAATTTTACATTGTTTTATTTGGTATTTTGATGATTATTAAATTGTGTTGATATTTTTGGGTTTTTAGTTTTTTGAATAAAATTTAAATTAAAGTCAGTTTGTAAACACTGTTTGATATATTTTAAATATTAAAAAATCTAAAATTTCGGAAAGCCAATATATCAATTTATTCTATTGTTTTAAGTTTTTTATTTCATTTTGTGCAAACCATTTTCATTGAAATTATTATTATCTTTGGCCATCAGATAGCGTTCAGACTAATTCTACTAATATTTGTTTAAATATTTGGTATATATCAATTCACTTTTAATGAATTATTTATATTTCCGACCCAACTTAAAAAACACAACAACTATAAAATAATAAAAAACAATAAAAATCTATATTCACTTTATAATACGGTTTTGTTTATAAATTAACATGTTTTTATTGGTATATTTATGTTTTTATTCTTATTTTAAACATATTTCATGTTATACACATGATAAACTTTGAAAATTTATGTAAAGAAATTTATAAACAAAAAATTTCCGATTTTTAATCATCATATATTTTGTTTAATGATATTTAAAGTGTCATTAATAATCATATTTGAAATTCAAATACAATCATAAAGTCGTTATTATATTTTCAAGTTGTTCTATAACCGTTTGAACGTTCAATCGTTGTTGAGGATCAGAACACCACATTTTAGTAACAACCATATAAAGGTCGTTATTCATGTCTGATGGTTTAACTAGTCTTTTACCATTGACAACAAAATCGACAATATCCCATGCATACTTAAATTGATTCTTAGGGTAAGGTTCTCTCCATACTACACATTCATACATCGTAATAGCAAATGAAAACACATCTGCTGGTTTTTGTATTTCTGTTTATCCAACACTTCAGGCGCCATATACTTTGGTGTTCCGATACCCTTTGTGAATGTCATGTTTGTCATCATCATATTAACGTTCCTTGCACTTCCAAAATCAGTCAATTTAGCGTTGACTTTGCTGTTGTTATCAAGTGAGACAACAAGAATGTTGTCTGGTTTAACATCTCTGTGTAATATCCCATTCTCATGCAAATAAGAAATTCCATTTGCTGCGTCGAGTAGCATTTTAACACGCATTTTCATATCAATTTCTTCTGGTTGTCTTTTTACGATCAAGTCTTGTAAACTCCCAAATGCTGCATATTCAGTGACCATACACAATTTGTTTGGTATAAACACGGCACCATAAAAGTGCACAATATATTCACTCCTAAACTTGTCTAACATAGATACCTCGTTATTAAATTCATCCATAAACGCGTTGTCTTTTATGACTGTTTTCATCTTTTTGATAGCAACGTCATTTCCTCTAAAAGTGCCTTTATACACAATTCCAAACGAACCTTGCCCAAGTTTCTTGTCTTCTGTCAATTCATCGTAATCAATTCGAGTGGATTGTTCTGTAGTACCAATAACATGTATTTCATTGAATTTTTCTTCATTTGTTTTGAGACATTTAGAAATTATTTGGAGTGAATTATCAATTTTACAAGTGCAATGTGGTGTTAAATAAATTGAAAATTCACAAGCATACCCACTTTTAAGAATCACAATCTCGGGATCAACTCTGATATCAAATTTATCTGAATTAGATAAAACGGTAAATTGAATTTTGACCAAATTTTTGTTTGTGTTGCCAACACAAAACAACTGACGACTTTCATTTGTAACTGAAATTTCTTCACAATCAGAATTGTAATCTATTTTTTTTAGAAGAAACACAAATTCCATTTTGAAGTAAAGTAAAATGAATATTCGACTTTTTCATTTTAAAAAGTGTTGTGGTCTTTTCTAATTTTTTTGTATGAGAAATTTCCAACACTTTCTTTGTGATGATAATTATAATAACAGCAACTAATATCACCACCAATATCACAATAAGAACGGCTATCAAAATGACCCACCACACAACTTGTGATTCGCATGACATCCCATCACTGCTTGGAACAGACCAAAATGCACATTTGGAGCATTTTGAATCGGTTATTTCATTGCATTTTGTTATTTGTGAAAGACCAACACAACTGGAATTTGAAGACAAAACACGATATGACTCACACGAAGTGCATCTGTTGCTTGTCAATGAACACGTTTTACAACTGTCATCACACTTTTGACATTCATTTGAGTTGATTGTTAAATAGCCAGTCTGACACTTCGAACACCCGTTTTGTGTCACTTCAACATCACACCCATCAATGGAACTTTGTGGTTTGCATTCACCACTGTTGGTCTTGTAATTTGTTGCATTACAAGTCAAACAAGTGTCTCTGTTGTTACACGTTGAACACTTCTCATTACACTTAAAACAGTCAAGACCGAGCCGATAATATCCATCTTGACAAACAACACATCCACTTTTAAATGATGCAAATTGATAACATCTTTTTTTCAACTCTTCGTTTGTTCGACATTCATAATTTGTCAAAAACTTTCCATTATGACAACTGAGACATTGTGTTCCTTTTTTGTAACAAGTTAAGCAATTGTCATCACATTGTTCACAAGTATTTGTTTGTTCGTCGAAGTAAAACGAATCATTGCATCTCTGGCACCCAAAACTATTTTGTTCAATACATTTATTATTATTATTTGTTTCACACTTGTTTTGTGAAAGAATATAATTCGAATCACATTCAACACATTTCGCATTAATAATATACAAGCAATTAGAAATTGTATTTGTATGTTTACCATTTTCATCATTAAAATTATAATTTATTATTTCACATTTCCCACTTGAAATCATTTCAGTGTTGAATTCACATTTTGTTGGTTTACCATTTTCACAATAAACTGAATTGTCATATTTCAAACTACATTTTTCACAACTGTTTAAATCTGAATTGACATAATACCCATATTGGCACGAAATAATATTTGAACCTTTTGTTATTATAATTGGTTCTACCGTTACAATACATGATCCATTAACATTTAACACATTGGAATTTACATTGTTACATATTTTACATTTTCCATCATGTTGAAAAACAATACAATTTGTTATTTTTTCACATGTTCTTTTATTTAATGTATATCCAAGTGCACATTTAAAACATCTGTTATTTTTTGCTAATATACATTTTTCTATGAGTTGACATCTTCCATCAACCAACTGGGTGTTAGTTATACAGTGAATACACGTGTTTTTATTATTTGGGCAAAAATCACAATTAATATCATCACAATCTGTTGGATCTTCACAACTTTGTGTTGTTTTATTATAAATCCAGTGTACATC